GTGTGGCCCGTGAACTGAACTCTACTGTGTGTGGTGCCACGTGGCCTAAGGCTCTGAATGGCAGGTGGCCCTGCCAGTTCAGTCCTCACTATTGTCTTGGAGGAGGTCAAAGTTACTGGACAGATCCTATCTTGATTTGGCCTCGAGCCAAACCTTTAGGGCCTTTTATTTAGCCTCTAAACTCTGTAGAAGACCAGGCCAGAGCTGGCTAAACTTACCTTGTAGATACTGACCCTACCTGAGGGACTTGAGCTCTTGGATGGGGGGCGGGGGGCAGGGGGGCGGAGGGAGCCGACAAACTTTCAGCCTAGCAGATTGTGTAAAATGCTGGGAATGAACAAGCCCACAGTGGCTGTACTTCATGAACTCCATTTGGGGAAGAAATGGAGACAGTGTCACTCAGAAGGCAGCTTCCCTATGCTGGGGGCTGCCATCCTGTGGGGGACCTGAATTCTTCAGAATACTGGCCCTGAGGATTCTGGGTATGTGGGCACCACCTCTGGAGGGCTCTCTGGAGGCAGAGACCATCTCTCTCACCATTGTATTTGTATTCCCAGGGCCTGGCACATAGGGCAGAGTGAATGAATGTCCAGTGCTGGTGTTTTATGAAATAAGAATAGCCCCACAAGGATTGAAGAAACAATTGTGAATTTCTGGATAATTCTAAGCCAGGAACATGTGGGTCTGAGGAAAGAAAATAAAAAAAGAAAGAGAAAAAGGGAAGAGGTTTTGGGTGGCAACTGAGAACAGGCCTCTTGTTGGTAACATGAGCAGAACTTAATTTCACATGCTCAAGCTCTCCACCACTTCCACCCCTATGCCAGCCAAAATTTCAGAGTGAGAGTAGCCGAGGGTGGAACTCTTGGAGGTGACTATTGACTTTGGGGGAGCTCTTTCAAGATTGGACTCTGAGGTAGAGTCTCTTGTGGAGAGGGTCTTGCTGAAATGGGCTGTCGCAAGGACTGTCACAGGTTCTGTGCTCATGCCAAGATGGGGGAGCTTGGCAGGAGCTGCAATCACCAGGTCTACACTCCGGTCCTAGTCCAACCAGCCCTACAGCTAAGCTCACAATGTGCTTCAAGTGACTTCTCTTACAGGATGTTTTCCAGGCCCTCAGGTAAATCTTTGGTTGTCAGGGAACAGGAAGGGAGTGGGGTGCAGTAGGGGAGCACTGGCCCCCAACATGGAAGGTGAGTTTCCATTTGTCAGACGTGCAAGGGGGCTGCCTCAGATCTGACCATCAGGGGCTAGGGCTGTGGCTCTGCTTCCAGCTAGTAGGACTTTGCTCCTTGAAGGGTGTGCTGCCTGCCTGAAGTGCCAACAGCTCCAAGCAGCTGGCAATTTCCACTCTGTGCCTCAGAGGGATGATGACAACACCTTCCAGACTGTGGGATTGTAGTGAGTTAATTCCTGGAAAGCTCTTAGAACAGTGCCTGGTACTTGTGAAGCCATCAATAAATAACTATCGTCCTTCCCTAAAACTTAGCGTCCATACTGGTTTCCTAATGCTGCTGAAATAAGTTACCACATGTTTAGTGATTTAAAACACAAATTTGTTCTCTTATGCACTAGTCTTAAAGGCTCAGCAGTTCCTTCTGGAAGCTCTAGGGGTGAGAATCCATTCCCAGGCCTTTTTCCAGCTTCTAGAGGCTCCCTGTACTCCTTGGCTCATGGCCCCATCCTGGTCCTGAAAGCCAGCAGTGTGGCATCTTGCAGTCTTGCAATCTCTTTCCCTTCCCCTGCTCCCTTTCTCTGGTCACATTGCTTTTTCTGACTCTGACCCTCTTGCCACCCCCTCATAAAAGCCCTTTTGATTACATAATCCAGTGTCATCTCTCCATCAAAAAATCCTTAGTTTAATCATACCTGCAAAAATCCTTTTTTCTATATAAGGTGCTGTAATTATAGGTTTGGGGGACTATCTTTGGCAGGACGTTGTTTTTTTTTTTAAATTTTTATTTATTTATGATAGTCACAGAGAGAGAGAGAGAGAGAGGCAGAGACACAGGCAGAGGGAGAAGCAGGCTCCATGCACCGGGAGCCTGACGTGGGATTCGATCCTGGGTCACCAGGATCACGCCCTGGGCCAAAGGCAGGCGCTAAACCGCTGCACCACCCAGGGATCCCTGGACGTTGTTTTTCTATCACAGGGTCAGATACATTTCAGAGACTCTGAGGGCAGCAGCCTCTGGCACAGAGCTGATAACCGGTTGCTAATGGAAGGCCAAGGATGCAGGCCCTCACCTGGGAAGGGTGGGAAAGCTGTGGGAACGCAATGGGGCAGGTCATGCAGCTAGGGGAAAGCCACTTTTCTCCAGACTTCAGAAATTTCTGATAGCTTCATTCACTCTCCCAGCCTGTGCTAAATAAGTAAGGGTGTGCATGTAATGCCCAGAGAGGGTTCTGTTTGAGATTCCAGGTAAGCATCCGATGCTTGAAAAAGAAAATGAGGGATCCCTGGGTGGCGCAGCGGTTTGGCGCCTGCCTTTGGCCCAGGGCGCGATCCTGGAGACCCCGGATCGAATCCCACGTCGGGCTCCCGGTGCATGGAGCCTGCTTCTCCCTCTGCCTGTGTCTCTGCCCCTCTCTCTCTCTCTCTCTGTGACTATCATAAATAATAATAATAAAAAAAAGAAAATGAGAACAAGGACATCATTAAAGCAGTGGAAGAGCCTAGAATCTGGTATTCCCAGGACTGGGATGGAATCCCAGCTCTGCCACTTCCTGGCTGTGTGACCCTGGGCTCTTTTCTTCCCTCTTCCAAGTCCTATTTGCTTCCAATTTGCATAATGGAAAATATAGTACCGACCTCAGTGAGGTATTGGAGGGCTAAAGGAGTGCAAGAGGAACTTACAAGGCTTAATAAATATAAGGTGCCCACATGCTGGGGGTATTTTGCACTGCCAGCCTTCAGGGATATGCAGAAGAGTGTGCTTCAGAGGCCCCCCAGGATCACCTGGCAGTTCACAAGAGGGCCCACGTGTCAGATGGGAGGGTCTCTGCCCAGAGAAGAGCCAGGGTGGAGAAAGCCTCTTAGGCAGCTGGAAGTAAGTGCAGAGGCATGAACACTCCCAGCAGGTTGGGAAGGCCAACAGATCTGCCGTCTGTAGGGGATGGCAGCAGGGGAGGGAGAGGAGCTAGGAGCTGGCAAAGGTGTTTAAGCAAAGACTAAGCCAGACCCCATATCACAGTGTATCGTTACATGTTTATATTTACTTGTTTTTTTTTTACCGTCTTTCCTCTAGGTTATAAACCACATAAGAGTAGGAATTATTGTGTGTTTGCTTCTCCTTATATCTACAGAGTCTGGTGGCCATTCAGTAAATATTTGTTGGATGAATAAATGAATGACCTAATTGAATCCCTGAATAGTCACATCTTGCAATGTTGATTTTTTTATTTTTATTTTTTAAATTCCAGTATGGTTAACATAGTGTTACATTAGTGCCTGGTGTACAATATAGTGATCCAACAATTCTCTGTGTTACTCAGGGCTCATCTTGAGTGTACTCTTAATCCTCTTCACCCATTTCCCCCAGCCTCTGACCCACCTCCCCTCTGGCAACCACCAGTTTCTTCTATATAGTTCTACAAAGAGTCTGGTTTTCTGTTTCTTTCTTTTTCTTTGTTAGTTTGTTTTGTGTGAAATCATATGGTATTTGTCTTTCTATGACTGACCTGTTTCACTGTTATACCCTCTAGATCCACCCATGTTGTTGCAAATAGCAAGGTTTTACAGTATTGGTATTAAGTCCTTGACAAGCATCAGGTGTGAGCTGGTGCTCTCATAAGGTTAACCTGGCTCTGGTGTGTGGTGTGAAGGGAGGAGGGAGAGGCAGAGGTCAGTTAGAAGAATTCAGGTAGCAGAGCCAAAGCCCGCAGCAGAAGGGAGGGGTGGAACAGAGACCTTGTAAGAGATTAACAAGACAGACTTTCAAGGCTAAATGGGGCACAATCACCATAGAGGAGAAGGAATCCTGGAGTGGGGAGGAGGCTGGTTAGGATATGTGGCTTGCACAATGAGGCAGTTAGGAAATGCTTGGGTGATGTTGAGGACCCCAGCTAGCATCTTCTGTTGTGGGCTGGAGCCCTTGGGGACAGGAAGATATAGCCAGAGGTGAAGCTAGAAAGCCACAAGATGAGGCTCCTGTGGCCAGTTTATCGCATTCTCTGTATCCTTCTCAGTTGGTACTATGGGAGCCTCTTCCAGCCCCTGTTGGGTCTTCCCATGTGACCATGCCCTGCCTCTGTCGTAGCTGATTTCCCTTCTTTCTTTCTTTTTCTTTTTTTTTTTAATTTTTATTTATTTTAAAAATTTACTTATTCATGAGAGACACACACACAGAGAGAGAGAGAGAGAGAGAGGAGAGAGGCAGAGACACAGGCAGAAGGAGAAGCAGGGAGCCTGATGTGGAACTCGATCCTGGATCCCCAGGATCACGCCCTGGGCTGAAGGCGGCACTAAACGGCTGAGCCACCCAGGCTGCCCTCTTTTTTTAAAAAGTAGGCTCCACACCCAGTGTGGAGCTCAACTCAGGGCTTGAACTCACGACCCCAAGATCAAGATGTGAGCTGAGATCAAGAGTCCTCCGTTTAAAAAAAAAAAAAAAAAAAAAAAGAGTCCTCCGTTTAAACGACTGAGCCACCCAGGCACCCCTCTAATTTCTTTGGTCTGTATTCCCCCTGTTAAACTGCCCCCTACACATGAGGCCAGGTCCTTGGTTATCATGCTCACTGTTACAAGACTGAATAGGTGGATGAGTGGATAGCAAATAAGGAAATGTGGGAAAAAGAATATAGGAGAGAAAGCAAGATGTTAGCAACAGAAATATGGGTGATTGTTTTTCCTTTTTTATTCTGTATTTTCCAAAGTATAATAAACATATCTGGCTTTTATTCCCTACAAAAGTGATAAAGAGAAAATAGGCAAGAAAACAGGTCACTCGGGTTTTTAGCCTCCTTTTTCACGAGCTGTTGGCTCTTGGTTTGCTTTCATACAGGTGGAAGCAGGGAAAGGCCTGGAGATGAGGAAGCTGGTTCTCTCGGGGTTCCTGGCCAGTGAAGAGATCTACATTAACCAACTGGAAGCCTTGTTGCTGGTGAGTATATGCTCTGGCTTGCTGGTAGGCGTCATGCTCGAAAATTACTTTTGGGTTTGGGGAAGAAGGGGAACCTGGACCAGCAGAGTCTGTATTGCTCTGCTGACAACTTGACATTGGGTGGCCAGGGTCATTGCCAGAAAGGGGCCTGTGCCTCTCAGCCTCAGCCCTCTGTTACCTGCCCTGGGAAAGGCGGGAGAAGCACAGCCAGGTTGGAGATGGCAAATGCTCATGGCCCATGACCACGCACAGGCATTACTAATCAATGGTGGTACTCCGTCCAGATGGGGACCCAGCATCCACCTCCACACTGCTCTGGGCAGTCTACCAATCTATCAAGCTGAGCCTTCTTTGGCATTCCCCTAGTCCCTCCTCCCTGGGGTACAGAGCTGAGGCCATCCCAAGACCCCGTGGCAGGAAATGGGAAGTGGAAGGGTATCTGTGTCATTTGAGAAGCACCATAGCTTCACCTCTGTGAAGGTGCCTCAGTTTCCTCCCACGATGGAGGCATTGTGAGACTCAGACTGGGAGGGAAATATTATTTATATTAGATAAAGGTATTACACAGGTGTAAGAAGTTTTTGCCTTTGAGGAAAGTGCTCCTTAGATGCAGCTAGATATAATGCAGAGTAACTGTGGCATATAAAGTTCTTTCCCTTGGGTGTTTTGCAGTCTGAAACATAGGATGATATCAGTAAAAGGGAGAATAAGAAATGAGGATGTAGATGAGTAGAAACTCATTCTTACAAGACTTGTAAGACCTTTTTTCTTTTTAAGATTTTATTTATTTATTCATGAGAGACAGAGAGAGAGAGAGAGAGAGGCAGAGACACAGGCAGAGGAAGAAGCAGGCTCTCTGTAGAAGCCCGATGTGGGACTGTATCCTGGGCCCCAGGATCATGCCCTGAGTCAAAGGCAGATGCCCAACCGCTGAGCCACCCAGGGGTCCCTGTAAGATAGACCTTTATATACTTGCTGTGGGATGTGAGATGTTGTCACCCAATGCCTGACTTGGCATTTATCACCCAAGGAATAACTATCGAAATGTGCAGGTACTTTGGGGCACCTGGGTGGCTCAGTTGGTTAAGCATCCATCTCTTGATTTCAGCTCAGGTCATGATCTCAGGGTCATGGGATCGAGCCCCATGTTTGCTTATCCCTCTCCCTCTCCTCCTATCCCCCACTGACACTCTCTCTCTTTCAAATAAATAAATAAAATCTTTATTTTAAAAAGTGCAGATATTCTGTGACTGCCTGGGTTCAGTTTGTGGTAGCTCTCCCTGGGAATTTATTGGTAGGCACAGCAATGTTTTTCAAGTTATGGACAGTATAGCAGATAGACAAGGACTGCGGTCTGGGGCCAGAACTAGGGCAAGACTTGACTCTGCCATTAATCATAGACTCAGTGCACTGTTATTCATACTCTGCATCTGAACCCATTAGTGTGTTATGAAATCAACATAAGTTGAACCAATATTTTTTTTTAACTGAGAAAATATTAGTGTGCATCACACACTGTTTCACTTAACTTTGGGTTGTTTGTATATGTGTATATATATGTATGTACTGGGCCACATTCTTTTTGTCCTTTTTGAAAACCACTGGCTTTGGGCAAGCCATGAGTAACCTCCTCGGGCCTCATTTTCCTCATCTGGAGATGAGAATAATCCTCTTACCTCCTCTCTCTCTTTGTCATGGGGCTGAGAAGATCAGATGATCCTTTGGGGGACCTAGTAAAAGCCAGGTACATAGGCACTCAGATTAGCTGAAGGAAGGAGGACAGGTAGAGGACCAGACACAAGTGAAGGGCACCTCACAGACGGTGAATTGCCAGTGCAGAATGGCGGGGGGGGCAGCAAAGTAGTCATCACTAAAAGGATGTGTGTTTGAGAGGAGTTCAGACAAAGGACCCAGACTGCGTGCCAGTGTCCCCCTTTGACAGCTCTTGCCCTTCAGCAGGTTAATGAACCCTGTGCAAGCTGCCCACCCTGAGATTAGCACTGTGTGCGTGGGGTTGTTGTGGGGACAAAATGAGTTTGTACATGAAGCTCTTAGAATGGAGACGAAGCCTTAGCTGGTGTTATTGTGTCCAGCGCTGGGAGAGACACATGTCGGGACCTGTTTCTGTCAACACACCCTTTCCCTGAAGGGAGGGAAGGCGCGTCCTCAGCAGAGGCCAGCCACTCGCAGATTCCAACTTGTGCTCCCATCAGTCATTGGGCCTCATGTGAGTTTCCTTGTGTCCAGGCAAAGATAACATCAGATGTGAGGGCCAAGACACTCCCTCCCTGCCTCACCTTTCTAACAGCTCATGCCTCGAAGGCAAACCCTGTGAGTCCTGAGGCATCCTGAGGTGACCCAGGGCACATCCTGCCTGTCCCCAGGAGGGAGGGGAGAGGCCAGGTCCAGGCCGGAACCTGGTCTGACCTAGTCTGCACTGAAGGGCCCCAGGAAGAGGGGGCAGGACCCTCTACGGCCTCAACCTCAGATAATGAGCCACAGAGATAAAGCATCAAGCCTCCCCGCCCTCTCCTTGAGCTGGGAGCCCTCCCCTCACAGCCCTTTAGTTGCTAAAGCCCCTTGCTCTTTGGGGGTGACCTGACCAAGGGGCGCAGGGAAAAAAATCGCTCCTCTCTGTGGCCGACTCCCAGATCTCCTACTCATTACCCAGCCCCCTGGCTCTGCTCCTACCGTGTTTGTGTGAGACTATTCTCAGCCTAACACTTCCTGATATGCAGATGGCTGGGTGTGTGTGGTGTGTGTACCCAAGACTGTGCATACACAGACGCAGCTGGAACCCACGCAAGAGCCTCTGTTCCTGTCCCCTGAACTGTTGGCTGGGGCCAGGTTTGGTAATCTGGAAACCTCCAGGTTCCTGGTTGGCTCAGATTACAAGCCAAGTGGGTCTGGGAGTCTGGGCTGAAATGGGCGGTGGAGGAAGGGAGACAAACCAAGTGCCCGTCATTCTTCATCTCGCCAACTGTGGGGACTGTGGGAAGTGAGCTCAGGTGCTGCCTCTGGCCATTGCCTACAGGACCTCCCACCTCTGGGCCCCACTGGTTCTCCTCTCTCCGCTTCTTATTCTGACAGTTTGCTCTGGGGTTCTCAGGGCCCTTGTCTCTAAAATAGGTTAATGACGCTTCCCTCCCTGAGTTCTGGGAGGAGGAGCAACTGAGGTGATAGCAGCCTCCAGGCCTTCTGGGATAGGAGGTGGAGGAAGTCGGCTGATTTCTTTATCCTGTTTTGAAGGGCAGGTTGCTGGGGGACAGAGTTGAGAGATGGTGGTGTGGAGCCCCACTATGAGTCAGAACCCACCTGGCCCATCTTCCTGAGAGAGCCAGGCTTAGCTCCCAGGCCACTCAGTGATCCTCTCTTTTAAGAATCCATTTCTCTGGGATCCTTAGGTGGCTCAGCGGTTAAGCGTCTGCCTTCAGCCTGGGGCATGATCCTGGAGTCCCAGGATCAAGTCCTGAGATCAAGTCCTGCATCGGGCTCCCTGCATGGAGCCTGCTTCTCCCTCTGCCTATGTCTCTCTGCCTTTCTCTCTCTGTGTGTCTCTCATGAATAAATAAATAAAATCTTAAAAAAAAAAAGAATCCATTTACCTTCCAATAAAACAGAGAGCCAGGGGCTCACTCTGCTTTCTACAGCAGGATTTTGGGAGGAGGTAACAATATGCTAGATTTGGGCACAAGAATAGTGTTGGATCAAAGCTCAGTGTTGGTTTGCCTTGCCCTTTTAGCCGTCTGGACCTGAGGCCTGGATTCAGGGCTTCACCAGATAAAAGTAACTGTCTTCGGGGGTCTCTGGCTAGCCAGGGCTCACACACACCCAGCACTTGCCCTTCCCCCCACAGGTGAAATCTGGGCTGAGAGCAAAGGTCCCCAACCCTGTCCTGGGAACACTCTGATGGGCTGAGTACAGGCCCTGTCATGTGACTTGCTGCTGGTGAGCACCCATTTCTTCCTTTTTGTTGACAGAGTGGGAAGTTGAGGAGGAAGCAGAGCAGTTGGGTCTTATCTTTGCATAGGCGGCTGATGAGTGCTTCCCCAGCAGCTTCTGAGAAGTCCTGACCCTTTGGCTTCCCAGGACCATTCCCTTCCTAGGTCCTTTATTCCCCTGTCTGTGGGGATTGCACCCAGGCAGGAGCAAGGAGTAGTGGTTCTGGGACTCTGTGGTAACTTGTCCCTCCACTGGATCCTGGGTAGAAGGAAAAAGGAAGACTAGGACAGTGATCTTTTTTTTTTTTTTTTTTTTTAAGATTTTATTTATTTATTTGAGAGAGAGAGAGAGAGAGAGAGAGCAAGCACAAGCACAAGCGGGGAATGGGACAGAGGGAGAAGCAGACTCCTCACTGACCAGAGAGCCTGACATGGGGCTCCATCCCAGGACCCTTAGATCATGACCTGATCCGAAGGCAGACACTTGGCTGTCTGAGTCACCCAAGTGCCCTCAGGACAGTGATCCTGAGGAACAGCTCTATATTCCTCACAGAGTGTTGGGAGCCCTGAAGCTGAGTGGGGCTGCACACCTGGGGTTGGGAACAGTGTTCCCTTTCTCTGGCTCCTGGTTCCTTCTATTTCCCTGCCTTGTGTGCTTAGCCATGCCCTACCCTCTGCCTGCTCAGATCTTCCCAACCTTCGAGGCCCGGTTCCTGTCACCTCCTCTGTGAAGCCCGCTGGGCTGTGCCAGCGGGACCACTTGCTTGGTATTTATAGTCCAAAATGGGTAATACCTTTCTGGCTTTGTCCACTAAATTGTTTCATTTGTGTTGGTTCACTTTAGTGAAATGGGTGATAATGTTCTCCAGAGCAAGAATCATGAGTCAGGAAAACAATCTAAAAAGAGAATTGTCCCCCCCATCACTCCCCTGCCTAAATCCCGCCAGGAAAAACCATGTCATTGCAGGAGCTTAAAAGCTGCATTCCTGGGGCAGCCCAGTGGCTCAGCGGTTTAGCGCCACCTTCAGCCGCCTTCAGCCCAGGGCTTGATCCTGGAGTCCTGGGATTGAGTCCCGTGTTGGGCTCCCTGCATCATGGAGCCCACTTCTCCCTCTGCCTGTGTCTCTGCCTCTCTCTCTCTCTCTCTCTCTCTCTCTCTCTCTCTCTCTCTCCTTCATGAATAAATAAATAAATAAATAAGTAAGTAAATAAATAAATAAATAAATAAAATCTTAAAAAAAAAAAGCTGCATTCCTTTCCCCTGCCTGGTCTGGCCCCTACCCAGTCCTGCAGCCCTGCCTGGCCCCACACTTCCCCCTTGCCCACCACACACAGGCTCTCTGGCTTTTTCTAGCTCCTCTCTCTCAGCAAGCCTATGCCTATGCCTACCTTGGGACTGGTGTTGAGGAAGTCTGCCTGGAATACTGTCTTCTGCGCCCCCATGCTTCCATTTCAGGGTAAATGTTCCTTCACCACCCTGTCTTAGGAGGTCCCCTTCTTATTTCTTTCTTTGCAGTTAGGTGTAATTAATGTGACCATTTCCTTGTATTTTGTCTGTCTCTCCTAATGGATGGGAGGCTCCTCGGGGCAGGGATTGGATATATGTTGTGAATCTCTAAATACCTGGTCTGGCTTCACATTAGGCACCTGGCACACTATTTGTGGGGTGAATAATTATAATAGTAGCAGCTAACATTATTGACTGCCTTTTGTGTGCCAGGCACAAACTTGATATTTTATATAAATTATAGCTTTTGATCTTCCCATCAGTGTTCTTGAGAAGGTAATATTATACCAGTTTTACAGACAAGGCTGCTGAGGCCCAGATGCTAAGAGACGTGCCCACAGCTATTAAATGGCAGAGACTCAACCCCACACCTCCTGGCCTGCACCAAGTAAAGCCCCAGCCTACTTGTCCAGCAAAGCCTGGATGTTAGGGTTGGTTGGTTCCAGCGCTAAGAGGGTCAGAAGGAGGGCTCTGATTTTCCTTGGATTTATCATTGTTTCTGGACTTTTTAGATGTGGGAAGATGAGGGAGCTGAAAGTCAGAACACCATCTGGGTATTTGAGTAGATGGGCCTTCCTCTTACAGACAGACATGGCCCTGCCACCACCAGAGAGGCAGAAGGGACGAGACCTGGAAGCTTGGCTAGAGTTTGGCAGCTGTGGTGGCTTGAGCTGGTGGTCATCTCTCAGAGTGAGCCAGTGACAGCTTTGGTCTCTATTGTCAGTGTTCCATATCCAGTCCAGTACTGAGTTGCCCATTATCTGCTAGAATGCTTCTCTGGTTGGAAAACTCACTACCCAGTCCTGTGAGGTAATGGGGTACAGCCCTAGTGAGTCCACACCTGCCCCCATAACTTCTCCGTGCTGTTCCTGGGTCTCCATACTGACTCACTAAGTCAAAGGCCTCTTTCCACACAGCCCTTCCGCTAGATGAAGAACATCAACCATGTCTGACTTAGGCTTCTTTCTTCTGGGGAAACATGCCTGCCCCTCCTATACTTTCTCTAAATGGCAGGTGTCCTGGAGGGCCTCTGGAGTGTAGTCTAGGCATCTCTGGGGGCTTTGGGGCTGGGGAAGGCTAATCAAGGAGGAGATCCTTATCTTTTGATATCAGGTTTGTTTGTTTGTTTGTTTTTGCTTCAACTATGAATTTTAATAGCTTTTTTCCCCCTAATTATAAAATTAATATTTACTTTTTGTAGGTGATTTAGAAAATACAGAAAATCACACTAAAGAAAATGCACCCAGGTACCATTCTCCTAACAGTCCTACTATTGGGCATGAAGGTGATAGCTTCAGCTCCCTGCCAGTGTTAGGTAGTGGTCCTGAGTTACTTTTTTGCCACATCATGCACTCCACCTGCAGGCTCTGGAGCACCTTGGTGTAGAAAAGCAGAGTCGACAGATAAGTTTCATCTTACATGTGAATGTCAGCATTGAGAAAGAGTCTGAGACAATGACCAGGCTCTGTGAGAAAGAGCATTATGATTGACTTAGAAATGTCTGCCATGGGTGTGGGAGGTAGGATGGTGTTATGTGTGCCATCTGCTTGCTCCCTATATACTAAATGAAGGGAACTTGAAATGTCAGTGCAGCTGAGATTGGTTTTGGGTCTCTTTGAGACTCTACCCTCAAATTCTAGAGCCATATTTTGTTTCTTGGAAGGAAATAGCTAAGGGCTTGAGTTCTCCCTTCCACTGACGTGGGACAAGAGAGCTTATAACTCAGAGTCTGAGGCCATTGTGGAAGAAAGGCATGGACCCTGTTACACCAATAAGTGAATCCAGTATAAGCTAGGAGCCAGGGACTCCCTCGGGAGCCAAGGGCATGGGGGAAATGTGTCCTGGCATTGACCCTTGGGCCTGGGAGGGCTGCTAGACCAGGCCCTGGCTGTCAGGGTCCACCCCCCACTGACCCCTTGCAGTGGGTCATGGCTTGTTGGTGCCTATGACACCAGCTACTTGCTACAACCCACACTTCAGGTGCCCTACCCTCCGTGGCCTTGACTAGGCACAACTCCAGCTGCAGGAAGGCCTACTCCATGCCCTGGGCCTTCTGACCATTTGGTTTATTGCCTCTAACCTTCTCTCTCTCTCTTCCTCCTCATTCCCAGCCCATGAAACCCCTGAAGGCCACAGCCACCACCTCCCAGCCTGTGCTCACCATCCAACAGATCGAGACCATCTTCTACAAGATCCAGGACATCTATGAGATCCACAAGGAGTTCTATGACAACCTCTGCCCTAAGGTGCAGCAGTGGGACAGCCAGGTCACCATGGGCCACCTCTTCCAGAAGCTGGTGAGTCTTCCACTGAGGGAGGGTCCTTATCTGGTACCTCAGTGGAGCTGCTGGTGTTGGGGGACATCTAGTCTTCCCCAGTCCTCTTGGCCTCCTTGAAGGCCTGGGTTATTTCTGAGTCCTGGAGGAAAACCTGGGCTTCTGCTCTGTTGGTACCAGGGCCTAGTGTCTCAACTCCTGGCTTCTCACTAAAGTGAAGCCCTAAAGTACTTCTACGGATGTGAGAGGCCACATGCAGAGGTGCTCCTGGGAGGACACTGATTATCTCTCAAAGGGGGGCTCCAGGGCTGGAATGAAGGCTCAGCTGCTGGATTTCAGGTCGCCTGTCCCTCAGCTGACAGAGGGGCATGTGCCAGATGGGCAGGCAGGGATTGTTCTCTTGGAACACTGTGGGCATTTGCCATACTGCAGTGCTGCCCCTGAAATGAAGCAGTCAGGCTGGAGACAGGTCAGCAAACGATCCTCTCCTGAGGACCCTGGAGCAGAAATCACGAAGAGCTCAGTCCACCCACCATTACAGGTGAGGGAAAAGGTACAAGGAGGTAGAATGAATGTGCAGACATAGTGTTGGGAAAGGCTTTCGGAGGTCTTCCAGTTCCTAAGGCTTCTGTGACACCCTCTCTGAGACTGTCTCTGGGTGTATCCCCTTGAAGACCCCTAGGCAGACCCACAATGTCCCCAACCCCACTCTTCCCTGATCCCAATCTTTCCCTGCCCATAACTTCGGCCTGCCCAGGGGACAGCAAGGAGACTGCCAGTCCATGGTGTTTGTTCCCTGGGTGTGAAGGGTGGTGGGCAGGGAGCAGTGCCTCTCCCTTACCTCCTCTGCAGTGGTGCAACTGGTTGAATGGGCAGGCCTATACTTCCCTTATACTAGAGAAGACTCTTGCTTGGATACTCCTAGGGCTTCAAGCTCACAGCATGTTCAGAATGGAACTCACTGTCTCAGAAGTTCTTTGCTCTTCCTGCCTCTTTCTCGGTGGGTGCTGCCATCATCCCATTCCTCATCCATCCACAACTCCCTTGGACTAGTCCTTGTCACCTCCCTTGTCCCATCCCTTTCCCCCATCCCTACTTCCAGAGGATGCTCACTGCCACCTACCTCTCCCCGCCTGTCCAGGGCCCTCACCTCAGGAGCTGCTCCTGCCTTCAAGCCTGCCTCCCTGTGAGCCTCCCACCTCTACCTAGCAGCAGCAGAGAGTTATCTGAACAACTGACCACACCTCTCTTCTCCCCTATTTAGATCCCTTCAGTGGCTTCCCCTTGCCTGTTGGATAAATTCCAGGCTCAGAGAAATGGCTTATGAGACCCTTTGCATGCTGGCCTCTGTCCACCCTGGCCTCTGGCTATTGCCTCCCCTATCCTTATGCTGCCTGACACTGAACTTTCTATTTTCAGTTCCTGCAGCAGACACTCTTGACCTCTCTTTTCTTGCAGCTCTAGCTGCCTGAAATGTCCTTCCCTAACTGCTCCCAGCTTAGAAGTGACCTCCTTGGAGAAGCCTTCCCCCAACAACCTTTGAATGCAGCCCCATGCTTATCCCCTCAGTGAACATAGTAACTGCCTGTCTCCCTAAAACCATAAGCTCTGGGAGAACAGATTATATTTTCTTCATCAGTAGACCCCAGAACCAGTCCAGTATTCAATACATGATTGAGTGAGTGCACCATGACCTTGACCTCTGTCACAAGGGAGAACTGGGAAGAGCATTGATGGGAACATTACGGGGTCTGAGGTCTGTCTCCTGAGAGGCCAGCAGTGTTATAAGAACAAACATAGCTTCTAGAGCCACAGCCGACTTTGTTTTTTGTTTTTGTTTTTGTTTTTGTTTTAAGATTTATTTATTTATTTGAGAGTGAGAGAGCACGCATGCACACACACAGTGAGGGGGGGGTGAGTTGGGCAGAGGGAGAGAGACTCCCAAGCAGACTGCGCTGAATGGGGAGCCCAGTGTGGGGCTTGAAGTGCTGAGCGTGGAGCCCGTTTGAACTTAAAGCAGGGTTTGATCCCAAAACCCTGAGATCATGGCCTGAGCTAAAAGCAAGAGTCAAATGCTGACCTGACTACACCATCCAGGCATCCCATCCACAGCTCACATTGAATCCTGGCTCTGCCACAGATGAAACCTGTGGGTGCAATCTCTGTGACTTAGCTTCCTCATCTGTAAAAGAGAGGGTAATAATAGTATTTACCTCATTGAATTGTTGTGAGGACTAAGTCAGTTACTACCTTAAAAGTACTTGGAACAGGGCCCCGAACAAAGTAAATTAGTAAATACTCAATAGTTGGCCATTAGCATTATTGTTTTTACTATCACTACTGTCACCACCATCGTCTTTGTTATTCTTAGCAAGAGGTACCCCAGAAGTATTGCAGGGGACCCCACACTCTTGGTTCCAGCACCCCAGAGTGCTTGCCCCCGTTCAGGGACAGTGAGTACCCAGTCATCACTCCGGGCCTGGTCCCAGGAGCCTGAGCTGATTGACTTGGGGGACAGCCTGTCCTTGGCCCTCAGGAGGACAAAGCGAGCAAACCAGGGGGGTTTTGGGGGCTGTCCCAGCTTCTCTTTGATACTCCGATGCTGCTGTCACCAGGGTTCCCCATTCTGGTCCAGCTCCACAGGCCTGGGTCATGAATTTGCTACCCTCCTTCCCTCCCCCGGCATTATGAACTGCTATCTGCGGCCCCTGGAGCTGCAGGCTTGGGAGAGCTGGGGTAGAGCCGGGCAGTCCAGGCATCTGGAGGTAGTTTATTTTCAGCTGGTCTCCATTACTGAGAAGGGAATTAGCATCTCTGCTATTTGTTTTATGAGATCACCCCAGTGCTAAGCTGCTGTTTCTAAGCAACCTCTACTTCCCAGTTAATGGCCCTGCAGGCCAGGCTTTTTAGGTTCTACAGATGGGGGTACATGGTGGAGATGGCAGTGCCAGGGATGGTCAGTGACCCCTGTATGCAGCCCTTCTGCCCAGGTGGCTTTGCTCTGACTCAGCCCCTGCTACTCCTTTAGGCCATGGGATGGGAGGATAGTGTTCCAACCTGGGCAGCCAGGGGGATGAGGAGAGAGCACATACCTGAGAGAAGGAAAGCAATGATTTTTACTTTGGTTTAGGAAGCAGCTGTCTAGCACCTTCCCTGTAGTTTGGGACACTGATGGGCCAGTACTCCCCCTGGAAAAGGAATTGAATTCATCCCTTCCTGCACTTCCCCCAAGATTTTTCTTTTTTGCAAAGTTTGGCCTGTCTGGGGTTGAGATGCACAGGACTCTGGCCTTGGCTTCCAGTTCTCATTTTTCCCTCTGGCTCTCCTGGCCCCCCCACCTGCCAACTTCCTGCCACCTTCCACCTGCCCCACCTCTTTGGGATCTGGAGAAGCACAAGGATTCTGCAGAAAGCAGAGTGGTACAGGGTGGGTCTCAGGGGCAGCCCACTTTCCCCAGCACCTTGGTGGGATCCCAGGAGGAAGTCCCATAGCAGCTGAACCTCCTTGCTACTTCACTGCAAAATATTTAAATCAGAAATTCTAGAGAATAGGGATCCCTGGGTGGCGCAGCGGTTTGGCGCCTGCCTTTGGCCCAGGGCGCGATCCTAGAGACCTGGAATCGAATCCCACGTCGGGCTCCCGGTGCATGGAGCCTGCTTCTTCCTCTGCCTGTGTCTCTACCTCTCTCTCTCTCTGTGTGACTATCATAAATAAATAAAAATTTAAAAAAAAAGAAATTCTAGAGAATAAATGTAGCCAACAACTGTGCATTCATCTCAGAATTAACAGATGTTAACTCTGAAGATAGGCAGAAAGACTTTTAATATATTTTTTTAAGATTTTTATTTATTTATTCATGAGAGAGAGAGAAGGCAGAGACACAGGCAGTGGGAGAAGCAGGCTCCCCACAGGGAGCCTGATGTGGGACTCAATCCAGGGACTCCAGGAACATGCCCTGGGCCAAAGGCAGGCACTCAACCTCTGAGCCACCCAGGTGTTATGGGCAGAAAGACTTTTTAATCAAGAAAACAAAGCATTGGGATCCCTGGGTGGCGCAGCGGTTTAGCGCCTGCCTTTGGCCCAGGGCGCGATCCTGGAGACCCGGGATCGAATCCCATGTCGGGCTCCCTGCCTGGAGCCTGCTTCTGCCTCTGCCTCTGTCTATGTCTCTGTCTCTCTCTCTCTCTCTCTCTCTCTCTCTCTGATGACTATCATAAATAAATAAAATTTAAAAAGAAAGAAAGAAAGAAAACAAGCAAAGCATTATAGATGAAGTCCCTCTTTCCCTTCCCCTTGCCCTTCTGCTCAGCCTGGAAGCAGCTACAGGAACGAATTTGGTGTGTTGCCTTCTGGGCTGTGGTTTGTATTTTTATTATATATCTGTATCTTCTTACTCTATTACATGTACTTTTAAAATGTATATGTTTTATATATTTTGCAATTCCATCTACATTTGTTTGAGAAGTTGTCAGTGTTACTACACACAGATCTAGTTCATTCATTTTAACTGTAGTGTGTGTATGGATTCTCCTGTTTGTGAGCATTTGTTACCAGCCTTTCCACAGGAGGAAGGATGAAGCAGTGATTACCCTTGCTCACATTTCCTCGGGTACACATGTACAAGTTTCTCTAAAATGGTGCTTCCAGTAGAAATATAGTGTAAGCCACAAATATAATTCTAAATTTTCTAATAGCCCTATACTTAAAAGTAAAAATAAACACATGAAATTAGTTTTAAGAATATATTTTATGGGACGCCTTGGTGGCTCAGTGGTTGAGCATCTGTCTTTGGGTCAGGGCATGATCCCCGAGTCCCAGGATCTAGTCCCACATCGGGCTTCCTGCATGGAGCCCTCTTCTCCCTCTGCCTATGTCTCTGCCCCACTGTATGTCTCTCATGAATAAATAAATAAAATCTTTTTTAAAAAAGAAAAAATAAATTTTATTTTTATAAAAGAAAATGTATTAAGCCCAGTAGATCCAGAATATTTTCATTTCAACATGTAATCAATATTTAAAAATTGATAAGATAATTTACATTCTCTTTTATACTGTATCTAAGCCTTTGAAATCCAGTGTGTATTTTATACTTAGAGCACATCTTGGGGAGCCTAGGTGGCTCTGTCGGTTAAGCGTCTTTTGATTTTGGCTCAGGTCATGATCTCAGTGTTGTGAGATTGAGCCCCCTTATCAGGCTCTGCTCTGGGTGTGGAGCCTGCTTAAGATTCTCTCTCTCCCTCTGCCCCTCCACCCCTTCTTAAAATATATATATAATATATTTATAATATATATAATATATAATACATATATTTATATATTATGTCCACGCAGACACTTACACCAAATCTCAATTTGGACTAGCCACATTTCAGGTGCTCACTGGACGCAAGTAGTGATTGACTCCTGTACTGGACAGCAGAGCTCTGAGGTTTGTATGTAGAAGTGGATTTGCTAAGTAGTAGGCCGAGCTGTGCATATTTTCAGCTTTATCAGTTATTGACAAATTACTGTCCAAATAACAGTACTAACACCCCCCATGAGCAGTCTATAAAAGCTCTAATCCTCCCTCCTCCCTCATTCTTGCCAACCCTTGATATCATTAGACTTTTAAATCTTGGCCAGATTGATGGGGATGAAATAGTATCTCATGGTCTTAATTCACATTTCCACCCTTTACTCTCCCAAGAGGAAATATATATGCAAAGCACAGAGAAGACTTTCCATAAATATTTGAGGAACTGAATTCATGAGCCTTGGTTTCCCCATTTGCAGAAAGGGGTGATGGTGTCTGTTCTGCCTCCCAGAGATGAGGTTTTGTGTGGTTGTTAAGTAGTTGAGAGCTTTTGTGTTAGGTCCAGAAGGACAGGCAAATGTATACTGAGGCAGGTCAAGTCTCTGGTTCCCTAAGAGGCAGAGGATATGAGGACAGGGACCAAGAGAGCCCAAGGAAAGTGGGGACCACACCATTTTTTAAAAAGTAATCTACACCCAACATGGGCCTCAAACCCACAACTCCAAGATCAAGAGTTGCATGCTCCACTGACTGAGCTGGCCAGGCACCCTGGAACTGCACCTTTAAATGCTGTGCCTTACACTCAGCATGGGGAATGGGGTACAGACCTGGCCGTGCTTGCCCTCCCAGCTCCAGCTAATTCCAGAATATGAAATGAAGACACGTGAAGCATTAAGGGGCTTCAAACCCTGAGAGACCTTTATGATGCTAAATAAAGCCAAATGCTGTTGAATTTCTCACGTGCCAACAAAGGCCCTGCCCTGCTCTCCCCTAACCCCCCAGTGCCCTCTCCTTAACCTTATTGGCTGAGCTGGTTTCCATGGAAACTGTCAAGTTCAAAGGGATACTGTAGTATGTGTATCCAGCCTTTCCCCTCTGTTCGCACATAGCCCTTTGGAGCAAAGTTAGAGGTTCTGAGTGCTAAGGGAGCTCCAGGAGCCCTGTTTACGCTTTCATCCATTCATTAATCCTGTCTCCCATCCCACTGCCCTCCTCCCTCTCTCCTCTTCTCCCTGCAGGCCAGCCAGCTTGGCGTGTACAAAGCATTTGTGGATAACTATAAAGTCGCTCTGGAGACAGCTGAGAAGTGCAGCCAGTCCAACAACCAATTCCAGAAGATCTCTGAGGTGGTCGGCAGCTCCCTGCACAGCCCCTGACAACTTGGAGCCTTCCAGTCTTCTGGCCTGTTGCCAGTTAGGAAAACAGTTCCCCTGAGGGTAACACTTAGAGAGTAATGATTTGTTTGATTTTGTTATTCTATTTAAGTTACTCTTATTAAAACAGAGGAGACAAAAAAGGGAAAAAAAAGCAGTATTCTCATGCACTGTGGTGACCTTGGGCAAGTCACTTTCCTTCTCTTGGCCTTATTTCCTTTCCCATCAAATGAGGTATCTGGATTATTCAGCTCATCCCAAACTTGCTTGATAAGAACCACCAGGGGCACTGTTTAAAAATGCAGATCTTCAGATACCTTCCCTCAAGATTTAATTCGGAGAGTTCCGGGTGGGACCCAGGAGTCTATATTTTTAACAAACTTCTTAGGTGATGGTGGTCTCTTAAGAGCTTTGCAGTCCCCCCCGACAGAGAGAGGACTGAGGCCCTTTGTGTGGAGAAGCAGCACTAGCCCCTGCCGCTGCAGCCAAGCCTTCCTTCCACACTCTGGAAGGAAGCAGGGCAAAGATGCTAGTGGCAGGGAGGAGCTCTAATATCCTTCAGGAGCACAGCCCACCTACCTCTTTGGTCAAAAGAATCTCTGTAAGCATCCCACCCCCGAAGCTGTTGGCCTCACAGCCCCAGCTCCAAGCTTGGATCAAGAGAACCTCTGGTTCTAGGGAGGGCGAGCTCCTTCTGCAGTTTTGGAAATTCTGCCTTACAGGCCTCCTTGGACCTTTTGCATTCCCATATCCGCTCTGATGCTAGAAAAGTTGGTGAGATACGGGATTGTGTTTGTGAGACTCCTGGGGTTATGGGTTATACTCCAGCTTGGAATCAGCTGAAAGGCACATAAGAGTTGGACAGATGGAGATGAAAATACCAGCCTGATTATAAGTAAAAGGCAGATTGGAAAAATCTGGACTTGGATCTGTAGCCACATTGGGCTTGCTGATGCTTCCTTTCCACAGTTAAACACATCTATCAGAGATGGAAACGGGGAGCTAAGCTTAGTTTCTTCTCCCAGACCCAGCCAGCAAGTGAGTCACCCTCTGCCTAGGAGGACAGAGTTGGGTAGGGAAGTCCCTGTCTGTGGAGTCACAAGGCTAGAGAAATGGTGCTTCCCTTCCTTGCTCCCAGCCCTTCCTGGGAACAAACTGGATATGCCTGATTAGCTGCTCAGGGGAGCAGAGTGGTCAGCCTCCTCTTAGCCTAGGCCAACTGCCCCTTGGGTCAGCAGGAACCCCTGCACTCCTCCCCAAGTCCTTCTGGAAGCCTGCCATCCCCTTGGCCTGCTGCCAGGTGGCTTCTCACCCTGACTCATGTGCTCATGCTGGCGCTTCCTACTGGCACTTCCACTTAATTACTGCAATTAGGGCCCTTCTCTGCAGTGGAGCAATTTCCTACCTCTAGGCTACACTGGGGTGGGTGATGGGCATGGAGACAAATTTCCTGAAGCAGGGAATCCAGTCACCAGCCAGAGACACAGACCTGAGGAGCTGAGTAACCCCCTTCTCCCCACCCCACACCCATGTTCCGTCCCTAGGGTTTTTTTCTGTTGAGAAACAGCTTGAGGCAGGAGTAGGAAATGTGGAGCTCCCACTGCCTGGGCCTTCCTCACCTCCCTTCCAGGCAGAGCAGGCAACATCACCTGGGTTCCTGACCTTGGCCTCACCTCACCCTGGCCTCCCTTCTGACATCCCACTTGGAGGTGCCTGCAAGTGAGGATTGCATGACAGCTCCAGTTGCAGGCCATCGTGGTCTGTGGCCAAGGGCTAGAGCTGGAACCTCTCTCTAAAGGCAGAGAGAAGAGGATCAGGTCAGCCATCCCTAGTTTCTTTCCAGCACTCATACCAGGTCACTTTGCTTAGGGTCCAAGGAGGGGTATTGCCTCTTCATTGCTTGCAATTTCCTCCCTGATGCTAGCACCCATGGTGTGGGGAGTGGCAGGTAGGGTTGGGGGCTGAGTGAAACCCTCTCGGTGTGGTAAGATACAGGTGAGACTGCCCTGTGGAGCTCAGTCTGCCCTGGGTGCACTGCCTCCCAGCTTGCCCCTGTGCAGATGGGCACAACCCCTTACCCCTTATCCCCAGGGCTGCTCATGCCCTAAGGTGCAGGTACATCTGCTGTTTGTCCTCTCAAATCCCAGGTACCCCAGGCTGATGCGGACAGACCTGTAAATAGTGGCTGCTGCTGGGGGATCCAGCTCTTGGCCCCTTTCTGGAAGGCCCTCAGAGTCACCAGGGAGGGGCTTTAGGGGGTATGTCTGAAGACCACCAATGTTAAAGACCTCTCTGGCACCCAGAACCCTCTTTCTTGCCTGCACCCAGCTTCAGTACTCCACAGGCTCCTGGAGATCATGAGTGTGGCACAGGAAGTCGAGCTCATAAGTCAGGGAGAGACCTGTGCTTTGGAATTTGTCCTCCTATCTGCACTCTGGGTTTCAGAGCACTTCTTGCTGCTCTGTCCACATCAGGGGGATGGGGAGGCTCAGAGGGCAGGCCATGTAGTGATTCCTCCCCTCTGTTTGGCAGGAACTCAAAGTGAAAGGTCCCAAGGACTCCAAGGACAGCCACACATCAGTCACTATGGAAGGTACTCTGGGGACCGGGTTGGGTAACAGTCACCTTCCTTTGTCTGGTTTCTGTGGACTATAGTGCCCTGCTTGTGTGAGCATGTGCACGTGAGTGTAAGTGTGTGTGTGTGTGTGTGTGTGTGTGTGTGTGTGTGTGTGTGGTGCACAGACGCGAGGAATCCAGCCTCTGTCCCTCGGCAGCCAGCCAGCTACAAACGTGCTCCTCCTTAGGATGCCAGCAGGCAGCTCTCTCCCCTCCTCCCCTCCTCCTCCCCCCTCCCGTCTCTCCACGCACCTCCCCTCTGCGCCCCTCCCCCTTGCGAGAGGAGCACTCTGAAGCGGCTGCTAGATTCAGGCTGTGCAGCAGCAGCCGACAAGGTGGCTGAGTGGCCAGGCTGCTGATGGGAGCCTCCGAGCGATGGCCGCAAGCTCCTGCCGCTGGGACGGAGGCTGCCATGGAAATTCTTCTCATCATTCGCTTCTGCTGTAACTGCACCTATGGTAACCCAGGCCCCCCTCTCACGGAAGGTGGTGTAGCTTCCCACCTCTGGGGTTGGCTGGAGTGGGCTTATTTGTGGCTGGTGAGGTTGGGGGGGCAGCAGGGAAGGGGGGTGCAAGCGGCTGGATCTGTGTTTACCCCTGTTTTGGCCAGCATCCAGCCTGGAGTTGAAGTCTGGAGCCATCCCTGGGCAGGGTGGCTTGGAAATGGGGGGCAGGGGGATTGGGGAATGGGGAATGGGGGAATTGTGGCGTGGCTTAGGAGGGAGTAGGCAACTTCCTGGAGATGCTGTTAAGGAGAGAAAGTGACAGCGCTGTGCCTGCAGGTGTGGCAGCCCTGGGGCTGGAGGGGGGGTCAGCAGGGGCCGCCAAACAGTGGCATCTGGTCTGGGCAGCAGTGCCTCTGCCCAGGGGGGGCTCCAGCTCCTGCTACAGGGACAAGTTGGGAGTTTCTTTGTTTCGGGGAGAGAAAAGAAGAGGTTGAGCCGCTAGGGTATTGTGTGCTCCGAGTGCACATGCTGCCTTCACAACATTCTCTCCTCAGAACTGTGGTGATGGGAGAACAGGGCCACGGTTGGGAGAGCAGGAGAGAACTGGGTTGTTCTCAGAGGGTGTTTCTAGCTAATGGAGACCCTCAAGCTAAGGTTCTGGTGCTTGGTGCATGCTGGTGGGAGAGGGGGGCGTGGCAGGCCGCTGCTCTGTGAAGGTCATGTACTCACCGGTCAGTGGAAGGGACCCAGAGCAGTCTCTGGGCAGCTTCTTCAGCAAGGGGGTCCTGGGACAGGCATGTGCCGTCAGCCGGTGCTTGCTCAGCCCCGGCCGAAGCAGGCCTAGGCAAGGAGGTGTCTAGAAGTGGACCCTACCTGCTGAGGCAAGAAGTGCTTTAGGGATGATCCAGGCTGCCTTTGGCAGGGGTAGGGGTCAAGTGTTGCCTCTAGGCCAGCTGCCCTGGGCCCCACAGTGTGTTGGAGTGGCAGGTGGCTGGTTTTAGGACCTTCTTCCCTCTTACCAGGCGTTTTGTCTGCACCCTCTCAGTCACTTTGCCTTCACATCTCCGTGGTAACCTGGAGCTCCTTGGCGAAGGCTGAACAGAGGGGGGTGGCAGTTTGCTGGAGGAGAAATGATGAGGTTTCTTAGGCTCTTTCTCAGAGGCCACCGTGCTCAGGGGGGCTATTGTCCACTCACCTTCTCAGGCTGTCCTGGGCCGAGGATCGCTCTGGTTGGAGGAACCCCTGGGCCGCCCCTCTCCAGCTGCCGCAGCAGGACAGTTATGGGATCTCTAGTCACTGGCCAGAAGCAGCCCTGTGCCCCACCTGCTGGCTCAGATTCTGACAGGCTGGGGTCAGGAGGAGAGATGGACTTGAAATTGGCCTGTTTGAAGATCAAAAGAGAAATGCTGGCCTAGGAGTAGGTCAGATCTCAACTCTGCCACCTTAAAAATGAAATGGGATTGGTCCTTGGCTTCCTCTTCCCTCCCCAAAAGGGAGTTTAGTCTTAGTGATACAGACCTGGACCTGGAGTTCAGTGTTTCTTTGGTTCCTGAGATGCTGTCTTTGAAGTCAGCTTCAAAGTGGGGAGGGAGGAGAGAATGAGCCCTTCCCAACCACACTATTTAGGATCTTCTCAGCCCTTCCAAGGGAAGCTGCTTCTGGGGCGCCCCGGGGGAGATTCTACACTTGGGGCTCACTCTGGCTTAATGGTTATTTGCTGAGCATCCACCCTGCAGATCTCTGTGCCAGATGCTGGGGAAGTCATGTGTGATCCAGCCCCTGCCCCCCAGGAGGGGACTCACCTTGGTAACAAAAGAGACAAGCTTACCCACTCCTTCCTGGTGAATCTTTCCAAGGATCCTCCTAAGGGTCACTGAGCTTTTACAGATGCTACTCTCCTGTACCAAAGAACTCAAAGTTAGGAGCATGGGTAGACCTGCATTCAAAACCCAGCTACCATTGGCACCTTGTCATTGTGAGCAAGTCACATAACTTCTCTGTGCCTTAGAGAGATTTCCTCACCTGTAAATGGGGCTAGTGATAATGGCTTCTCTTTTTAATCAAAGGAAATAGTGCATATAAGATAGTGCCACTAGACACAGTAAGTACCCAGCAAACTACAGAGAGGCCAGTTTGCTCACATCAGCAGTCTTTTAGGCACTGTGGGTGTGGTCTGCAAAAGTGCTCACTTTTGAGTCAGGGAAGGCTCCCTGGAGGAGGTGGGGAGTCAGGCATTGTAACTTGGTAAGTGGTGTCTATCTCAAGAACAGGAATGGCATGGTGAGGAGAAGGGAGGGTAGGGGAAGCAGCTGGGCCTGGGAGAGCCATGGAACAGATGAGGGGGGGAAGTGTGGGGTCCCCTGCATTGCCAGGGGAAGCCAGTGCACAGGGGCCCTGGGGAGCGCAAACAGAACATTGGGGTGGTTCTTCCTCCCCTTCTTCCCTCCATATCTGACTGTGGCCCCAGGGCGTTCCTCCCACCTTTCCTCCTATCTTCTCCCCCAACCTGGGCAGTCATTGCATATCCCCAATCAGGTAGATTCGAGGCAACTGCAGGCATATTAATAACCCCTCTGAAACCCAAGCCACCATTTGTTTAGATCTCTGAGCTTAGTCAGAAACCTCTTCCTCCTGGGACCTGAGAGAGGGACAGAGCTGACATGGCAGTATCAGCTTTCCCCGGGCTGGAACTCCAGGGCCCACCCTGGCAGCTATCTGCTGAACTTGCACTTTCTCTTGGGCCTTTGGGGTTCTCGGGTGTTATTTCACCCTGAAGATGATCTGAGCCACAGGTGGGTACTCTAGTGTCAGTACGGAGTCTCCCCACCTGGGCTGGGAACTGGGCTCCACCAACCCAGGATACCCTAAGGCTGGTCCTGCTGGTCTTAGCTCCCATAGACCATGAGGAGGGTCTCTAGCAACTGCTAAGTTAAGAGGGGGCTACAGATAAGTCACGGGAAGTGTGTTTGCATAAAGAGTGGTTTTCAACCATGGCTACATATCAAAATCTGCAAAGGAACTTTTTTAAAAATGCTGATACCCAGGTTCCAACTAGCAGAGCCTGGGATTTAGTTGATGAGGTGGGGAGAGGGGGACAGGCAGCTGTTTCTTTCAGGGGCAGCCAAGCCAAAACTGCAGATAAGGCTCATGGCATACCGAGACTGTATCTTCTCCACAGCCAGCAGATAGCTCCCCATAGCGTCTGCCTAGTGATGCGTGGGGTATTTCTGTCCAGGGTTCCAGGGAACCCTTTGGTTTGGAGACTGGCTAGGGCATGAATGGTGGCTCTGGCACTGTCATAACCAGCATCCCACCCCTTCCTGCCCTTGTGGCAGGAGAGCAGAGGTCATGACCCCATGGACAGTGACATCCAGGTTTAGGACTCAGGCTGAACCACCTATGTAGGGAGGGGCAAGCCACAGCTGCTTGCAGGAAGTTCTGCTGGGAAGTGTGGTCAGCCAGCTGCTGCCTCCACCTGTCCCTACTGAATCCCAGCAATCCTCATTTGGTGTCCTGGTTGGCCAGGGGCTGTGGGGAATGCCCCACACTGAGTCTGAACTCTTTTCCCCAGCCCCTTCAGCACCCCCAGAGGCCCCATCTGAATTCCTTCAGGAAATCTTTGCTGTCTCAGCTGCCACTTGCTTGAGAGCAGAGCCTTTGTGCGAAGGGCTGGCCTGCCTCCCTGGCCCTCAGCCTGTCTTAGGCCTTTGTTGGGGAGTTTGATGACACAGAGGCTAATCTCCTGGAGATGAGACCAGCCGTGTGGGTCAAAGCAAAGCCTGCCATGTCCAGCTGGTTGGTGATGCCAGGCCTTGGACCAGAGGAGTATCAGAATGGTTGGTGTGGGGGAGCTGCCTTCCCTGGAAAAATATCTTGTCTCCTCCCTGTGTTCTGAGGTGCTGGGTGTGTCCGAGATGCACTAGAGCTCTGTGGGGCAAGGCTAGGGATAGCCATATGATGCAGGCTTAGGGGTACAGAGGAACATCTTCATCCATTCTGAGCCTGGTCAGACAAGGATATCCTGAGAGATGGCCCTTCAAGAGGTCACATCTGATAGGAGACATGATGAGGCAGGTGGGAGGGGACCTGGGTTTCCAGGGCTAAAATGTCTGACTGTTGGCACTGGTCTGGCCCACCATGGGAAAGAATGGAGCTCTGACTTCCTCCCCGTGGGTGTCCATGAGGCGGGTGGAGGGATAAGGCTCATCTCTAAGGTGTCAAGCTGCTCCCCATATTTCATCTGTCCTGTGCCCTTCTCCCCACCTTTGCCCACAGCTCTGCTCTACAAGCCCATTGACCGTGTCACCAGGAGCACCCTGGTCCTACATGTAAGTGTCAGCCCCCTGAATGGCTAGAGAGGGGTTAGAAGTTTAGTGGGAGATGAGCCTTGGGTGGTGGGCACTGGAGTCACTGAGAGCAGCCCATGTGGGGAGCTGGACAGCGAGACCCTGACTACCCACCTGGCCTGTGGTGACCACACCACTGGGGCCAGGGCCCAAGTATAGCTTGGCTACTAAGCTTGACATTTGGCCAAATGTGTCATAGAGGCAGGCACTTCCTGCCTCCCCACCCCTTGCCTAATGGTCTCCAGGGTCCTGGGAGCAGCTGTGGGGTGGGTAGAGGGGTGTTTTTCCCAGCTTCTTGGGGAGATGAGACTCCACCTGTCTTGCTCTGCCCAAGGGAAGAGTAATGACTGCAGTAGTAATAAAGGGGCACCCCTGCCCCCACCCCTGCTTCTCTGACCCTCATTTTTAGCTCAGATTTTACAGGCATGACCAGATTGGAACTTGGGTCCCTTAATGCCCCACCTTGGAATTCCTTTGGTGAAGATTGAGTCCCTACTGTCTTCTCGTTGAGCCCCAGAACTACTGCCCCCGACTCACCACCCCATCCCTTCCCAGGACCTGCTGAAACACACTCCAGTGGACCACCCAGACTACCCACTGCTGCAAGATGCCCTCCGCATCTCTCAGAACTTCCTGTCCAGCATCAACGAGGACATCGACCCCCGCCGGACTGCGGTCACAACTCCCAAGGGAGAGGTGAGCTCAGGACCCAGCCTAGCTTTTCACCCAGGCTGAGAAAGGCACAGCAGACCACATCACCCATCCCTGCTGTCCTGCTTAGATGGGCACCACTGCCCTATCCTCTGTGCCTCTCCAACCTTCATCTCCCATGCCCAGCCAAGAAAAGGTCTTCAGGTCTCATTTATCTTCATAATAATCCACTAGAGAGTCTCTGCAGATCTGACACAAGGCCATAAGTGTTGGAACCAGATCATTCAGCAGGGGTTATCTGTCTTCAAGCCTGATGCTCTGTCCCCTAGACCAGGGAAACCAGGGGCTCTGGCTATCACATTATTGAATGTAAACACTCACTGTAGGCAGTATGATGCCCCCCAGGGTCTCCTGGAAGGTAATGGCTCAGCCTGAAGGAACCCAGGGAATCTGAGAGCAGGAACTCTGAGCTCCGTGTTAACAGCCTTCATGAACAGGTGGGCAGGAGGTAGGGAGCAAGCCATAAAGCAAGACTTTATCTTGAGGACATAACTGAACTGTCACCACCACCCCCAACCCAACCTGAAGGATTAGTACAGTGAATGTTATAAAGCAGATATGAACAGTTTGAAGGACTGGAACCAATATTAACTGACAAACAACTTCCATCTAAATTATCATAAAAATGAGGGGATCCCTGGGTGGCGCAGCGGTTTGGCGCCTGCCTTTGGCCCAGGGCGCGATCCTGGAGACCCGGGATCGAGTCCCACGTCGGGCTCCCGGTGCATGGAGCCTGCTCCTCCCTCTGCCTGTGTCTCTGCCTCTCTGCCTCTCTCTCTCTGTGACTATCATAAATAAATAATAAATAAATAAATTATCATAAAAATGTTTAAGTAAAAAAAAAAAGGAGGGAAAGGGGGTGATGAGTGTTTCAGATTGAACAAGATCCTTACATTTCATCTAATACATCCAATCCTGACTAGAGTATACCAAAATTACTACAAAAGTAATGAAAGGCTGGAACAGGAGGTGGCCAAGGCTGTCAGGTTGCTGGAATGTCCCAAGGACAGATGTGGTATAGCAGCTCCAGTTCCTTGGGGGCCCTTCTTCGTGGAAGGGCGGGGATACACCAGAGAGGAGAAGCAGTGTGAAGAATTGGAGGGACAGTTACCCATATGGGTCAGCAACCTGGCCCTTATTCAGTACTTCCTGTCCAGGAGAGATAATTAAGTGGCATTTAGGAGTGAAGACTGGCTGGGTTTATGCTTCTTTGTTACATTTGTGAGCCTCCAGTGTCTCCTAGGGAGGGAAGTAATGAAGGGGTCTGGAGCATGACTAATGAGGCACAGAGAGCTGTCTCTGTGTACAACCCTTAGCCCCAGTTTACAAACCCTGGAATGTCACTGGTTGGTTTGACTCGAGGATATCTGAAAGATCTCCAGAGGGTTTAGAGCACTATCAGTTTCAGATCATTTTAACTATATACTTTCACCATGCTCACCTACATATTGCAGCATATGTAGGTCACACAGTATATAACAAACATGGGATAGGCTACGGCAGATTGTGACAACCCCTGAGAAGCCTGCTGGCTATGAGGGTGTCAGGGCAGGAATCCTGGAAGTTCTACATGGAGCACAATGCTCTTAACCATCCAGAACCCAGGTTAAAGATGGCTTCAGGTCCCCCCAGGAGCTGCTACAGCCCCATCAAATGTAGCCAGTGTCTCCCATCCACCTGAGGGAAGTTGTAAAATCTTAACTCACAGGTAGCCTAAACAGACTGAGAGGGTCTGTGGGTCATGGTTGAATTGAAACAAGATCAACTTACTAGGCAGCGTTGAAGAGGTTCCCAGGGCCAGGGGGCAGGGTGTGAGGGAGCTAGACTCTGCTTATTATGCCCCAGTGTGGAGGAACCAAGTCATTCTGGACTAGGGTCTGTCCAGGTGAGAGCCATTGACAGCTGCAGGAAAATATAAAGCTACCGTTTATTGATCACATATTATGTGCCAGGCATTGGGCTCTTTCACATATACCATCTTGATGAATCCTATGTAACAGGGCTGCCGTCATTATCCCCATTTTACAGATGTTAAGATTGAAACTCAGGTCAGGGAATGTGCCCAAGATTACAACCAGAAAGCCCATTGTGTGACCTTAACCACCAGGGACCATAGCCCCCTCCCTGAGGCCCCTCCCAGCTGGCTGGTGTCCCCAGTACAGGCTGGGCCCTGGGTTGACTTCCCCTGAGCAGGTGGGGGTGGGTGTGCCATCTCCCTCAGACGCGGCAGCTGGTGAAGGATGGCTTCCTGGTGGAAGTGTCGGAGAGCTCCCGGAAGCTGCGGCACGTCTTCCTCTTTACAGATGTTCTCCTGTGTGCCAAGCTCAAGAAGACATCTGCAGGGTGAGTCCAGGGGCAGGGTGGGAGGCAGCTAGACTCTGGCCCCAAAGGACCCCCACCCCCCAGCATCAGGGGCAGTCTGCATTTATTTTTTCCTTTTAAAAAATATTTTAATTAATTTTATTTTACTACATGCCCCTTTTCTAAAAATAAATCATGTTTTTAATTATAAAGATAATATAACCAAATCACAGGGGGAAAACCCATCACCCATCGAACATAAGCATTAGTCTCCTGCTGCTATATTTCCTTCCAGTTTTTTAAAACATTCTTATGTTTCTTCATGTACTTGTAATCAGAGTGAATACCCAATTTTGGTCTCTGCTTTTTCCATTTCATGTCATAAGCATTTTCCCAGTCTCTTCCTAATCTTCATAATCATCCTTTTACTTTCCTGCGTGATGTTACAAGTGGATATGCCATAATTTACTTAAGCACTCTCCTTTTATTAGACATCTCTAAATTTTTGCTAACTGCAATTCAGTGAATATTCATTAAATCTGCTGTCATTATTGGGTGCTTATGCCATGCCAGGTGCCATGACAAATGCTTCGACTCTATTATTTCCAGTCTTCCCAAAAACTCTCACAGATGAGAGGAAAGACTTAGAAAAGTTAAATCAGTTGCCCAAGGTCGCATAACTAGAGGGAGAGAAGATGGAATTTGAAACTTAATCTGACCCGAAGGCTGCTTTCCACCTCCATCTCTGCACCCAGTGAGCGAGGTCCGCCCTGTGCACTGAGCAGAAGAGGTTATGCAGAACTCATTCCCACATTCTCCCACCTCCATTTCCTTGCCATCTCCTGTGTGCCAAGTACACTACCTCACAGTCCAGGGAGACAAGCCTCATGCCCACCTCAGCACTAGGGCTAGAGCAAGAGGTGCAAGCCTAGGTCCTAGGGGAAGCGAAGGAAGGAGAGGTTAGTAGTATGAGTGCACTTCAATAGAGGGGGTGACTCCCTGGAACTAGATCACAGATGAGATCATTCTAGAGCACAGATGGCAGTCATAATAAGCAAACACATCTATGCCTTTAGTCTTTTGCCCATGACATTACTAATGAACCACAGCACTATTTCCCACTGGGCTTGGATGTGGCCTTGTAATCTTCCGCCCAGGACCCCACGTGACTTCCATTGATCAGAATTGGCATTAAAAATAACGTGTGTATTCCATCTCCAGCGGAAAGGACAATGACTATGAGCTAAGTATAGATAAGCTAGGGGGAGGGGAGAGCGTGGGATGGAGGATAGGAAAGTGTTAGAGGTTTGGGATGTTTAAGAACATCAGTCCTACTGGGCCTGAAGATTGGCAAGGCCAAGTTCCAGAGCCCTCACTGCCGCTTGACTTTAGACCCCAACTGTCATTTCTCCGCATGTGGGTTTCCTGATCAGACTCCTCAAGGACACAGATCATTCTTGCCTGTGACAAATTCTCAGCAAATCCCTCTTGGTTTTTTTTTTTTTTTTTTTTTGTTCTAGCAGTTCAGGCTTGCAGAGCCAAGTTCTCTCTCGCTCACATCTCTCTCTGGCTTGTTTGCAGGAAGCACCAGCAATATGACTGCAAATGGTACATCCCCCTGGCCGACCTAGTGTTTCCATCCCCTGAAGAGTCTGAGGCCAGCCCCCAGGTGCATCCCTTTCCAGACCATGAGCTGGAGGACATGAAAATGAAGATCTCTGCCCTCAAGAGTGAAATCCAGAAGGAGGTGAGCAGAGCCTGGCATCTGAACGGAGATAGAGAGGGGGAAGAAGGCCCTTTTCCTTGGGGCCCTTTGAGCCAGATGTGCCAGGGTGGCAGAAGGTTTGAGAGCCTGATAAGGGAGACAGGATGCAAGAGTAGGAGACCTCAGGTACACGCTCAGGAAAAGACTGGTGGTAGCACATAAGTGCTGAGCAGATGAAAGGAGGACCTAAGAAGTCACTGTTCAGGATTTAATGGGGTTAGTCGTGGGAAGCTTCCTAGTGTATGCCAAGCCCATAGAAAGGAAGGCAAGAGAAGAAGGCTTTCTTAAGGAAAAGCAGGGAGGATGCCAGAGAAGGTGCTTTAGAGGCTGCTCAGAAATGGACAGATCAAGTGGACATATAGTAGGGAGAGATACAATAACACAGTCAACATGCTCCTGCCTGATGTAAAAATGCACAGATGCTTGCACCCTAGCCTAGAACTGAAATTCTTCTCCAGTACATATGCAGCATTTACACACAGCAATCGTGTATTAAACTTGCAAAGGAAATCTGAAATTTCAAAAGCACTTTGTTGATTTTTTTAAAAAGTAGGTTCTACACCTAACATGGGGCTTGAATTCATGACCCTGAGATCAGGAGTCACATGCTCTACTGACTGAGCCAGCCAGGGGCCCCTAAAAAAAGTTTGATAGCATATTTCTGGACTGCAGTACAGCGAGATTAGAAATCAACAACTAGAATACAGCTAAGTATATGCCTAGAAAATTAAGACTTTCAAGGTAGAGAGGAAATCAAAATGGAAACTGCAGACTGTTTAGAACTGCATGAAAATGAGAGCACTCCTATTGGAGTGTGGGTGTGACCAGAGCACTCTTTAGAGGAAAATGGATAGCCTTCAATTCATATGTTTGAAAACAGTGCCTAGAGTAAAGCACCCCTGGGAGGCAGCTTCCCCACACGTGTCACAAAGGACAGGGAGAGGCCTGGCTTCCTTTTTCTACCCGTTGGCTCAGCTTAGGCCTCACCTTTCAGGGAGCCTTCCTTGCTGTACACCCACCATAGTCTGGGTTGGACACTCTGCTTTCCAGTACACCCTGCGGTCTGCCTCTTCCATTTGCTTTATAGGTCCCAAATTGCAGTTTCATAGGCCACTTTCTCTCCCCCTCCCCTTGAATTTGAACTCTAGTGAGGGTGCTTTCTTCAGCTCTATGTCCCTAGGACTTAGCACATAGTAGGTGCTTGGTAAATAGTTGTTGAGGAATCCATGACCAGGTGGCTTTTTTTTTTTTTAAGATTTTATTTATTTATTCATGAGAGACACAGAGAGAGAGAGAGGCAGAGACATAGGCAAAGAGAGAAGCAGGCTCCCTGCAGGGATCCCAATGTGGGACTCGATCCTGGGACTCCAGGATCACACCCTGAGCCAAAGACAGATGCTCAACCTCTGAGCCACCCAGGCGTCCCCTGACCAGGTGGCTTCTAAGAATCTCCTTTCAGCAAAAAAAAAAAAAAAAAAAAAAAGATTCCTTTCAGCTTTGACAACACTCTTTGAAGGAGAGGAAGACCACAGTGATTACCCCAGGGGGGTCTGGGGCAAAGGGATGACCTAGGACTGAGGGTCTCACTGGGGGCACATCTGCTCAGAGGGGCACAGGTGTCCTCCTCCTGACTGGCCAAGCCCCACCCTGCCTCAGTGGAGCCTGTTTCCCTGGCCAGCACTGCCTACCAGCCCCACCCAGGGCATCCTGCAGGCCTGTTTCTCCCGGTCCTGGTCGCTGGTGGACTTTGTCTCCTCCCTCCTGCCCCAGGTGTGCAGACATGGCCTTCTGCTCAGTCGAATCAACACTTCCTGAACTCCACTGGCTGCTCGCTGCAGGGGTGTGCCAGACACCTCACGGAGCTCCTTGTCTTGCCCGTTACTGACCTCAGCATGTGACACGATGTGAGGAGAGTCCCTGGGGAGGCACATTGTTGTTCTCTGAGTCACAGGAGAAGCAGTGATTTATTCTTTTAATAATACTTTTTGAAAACTTATTTTTGTTCTCATCACCACATAACACTGGCTTGTTATAGCAAGAAATACAATACTGAAGCACACAGAGTGTAACAGATTATCACCCCCCCCCCCGTTGTTAACAGTTTGATATGTATTCTTCTCGACTCTTCTGTGCTTATGCTGGTGTGTATGGTTTTTGTTTTTTGTTTTTAATGAGACTAGACTATATGTGCCATTTTGCAACTTGAGCTTTTCGCTTTATTTTTTGTGCATTATAGAGCTCTTTGGATCTGTCAGGTTCTAACAGCTGCGTCCTATTCTGTTGCTTAACTGTGCAATGATGTATGAGATACTTAGATTGTTTCTGGTTCTTTTAATAGGCAAGACTACAGTAAACCTGACTGTATTCCTATTCCTCTCTGGTAGCTTCCTTACAAGGGGATGGCTGGGGCAGAGGGCTTGCTCTAATTGCCAGATTTACCTCTGGGAAGATTGCAGTCCATTGTGTACCCCACCAGCAGTGTGAGAATCACTGTCCCCTCCTACGCTGTCATAACACTGGCTGTGAGCAGTTGTTACCATTGTTGCCAGTCTAGTGGGTAAAGCAAGTCCGTAGAGATGAATTCTAACTGAGGAACTTGAAGTTGATGCTGGAACAGAAACTTGAAGCCTCATAACAGTTACTAAAAGGGAAGGAATCCTTCATAAAATGTAAAGTTGAAAAATTGGGCTGAGACATAAGGGCTTATTAAAGAACAAGAAATAGGGGCACCTGTTTGGCTCATTCGATTAAGTGTCTGCCTTTAGCTCAGGTCATGATCCCAGGGTTCTGGGATTGAGCCCCGCATCAGGCTCCCTGCTAGAGCCTGGTTCTCCCGCTCCGCCTGCTTGTGCTCTCTCTCTCTCTCTGTGTGTCAAAGAAATAAAAATCTTTAAAAAAAAATGAACAAGGAATAATACTGTGCGGCTGAGGTGGAACATACAGGGTAGGGCATTTGGCTGGGCACAGAGGCCCCATGTGCCAGGCCAGCAGTTAGGGTTTTGCTGAACGGCATCTGAGGTTTTTAAGCAGGGTATTTTGATGGTACCCAGTCACCAGTGATTTATTGAGGTGACTGAGTGATGACGTGGTTAGGCTAGTGGCACTGCAAGAGGATTCTTATTTCTCACAGTTACCAAGAGGAAGGGGCGCATCATCCCACGCAGGGCCACAGGGGAAGCCCCAGTTTTGGGCAGGATGCCAAAGACACAGGGGGAGAACCCAGCCCAGAGCCTGTATTGTGTCTGCCATAGGAAAGGAAAGCAGGCAGAGGCAACTGCTTAGGACTAGGGGTTTGAAAACTCAGTAGGGTCTGGGCTCTGGGATGGTCCCTAGCTGTCTGCTACCTGGCCCTGGGTTATTTAGGACAGAGGAATATTGGGTCAGTGAATTGGGGGTAGGTAGAGGAGGTGTTTGGGGGTATGAACCCAGGCCTGGATGGTTTATCCATGGAGGTATGTGCACAGAGAGGTCCTTTACTATCTTAGGGATCAGCTTGCCCTAGGAGGGGTAGTTTTCTCCCTGGCCAACTAGGCACCCCCAAGATAACAAAGCATCATAAAATATAAACAAAGGAAAAGACACGATTAGTGCCCAAGGAAGTGCTGTGCATAGAGCTGCCAAGCCAGGAGTGAAGTGTGTGAGGGAAACCATCTGTGCCCTCTGGCCCCCACAGAAAGCCAACAAAGGACAGAGCCGGGCCATTGAGCGCCTGAAAAAGAAGATGTTCGAGAATGAGTTCTTGCTGCTGCTCAACTCCCCCACGATCCCATTTCGGATCCACAATCGGAATGGAAAGGTCAGGGAGGGGTGGTGATGGGACCAAGGTGGCCCCCTTCCTCAGTCCAGGGCTGCCTGTTCTCTAGGGCTCCTATCCATGACCTGTGGGAATCAGGGACTCGGGCCCAGTTCCCAAGGATGTTGCCACAGCTCCTGCCCCTGGACTCCCTCCCCAGGCTGGTGAGGAGCCAGTGCCCCCTGCTGGCCATCGCTGGCACTGCCACTCCTGTCGCTGGGCTTCCAGACAGGGGGCTCTCCTCCCAGCTGCCCCCTTGGCCAAGCCTCAGGTGCCTGGGTGAGAAGGAGCCGGGAATGTGCTTGGCCATGTGGTCACCCCGCTGAATTCTCATCTCTCTTCAGAGCTACTTGTTCCTACTGTCCTCGGACTATGAGAGGTCGGAGTGGAGAGAAGCCATTCAGAAGCTACAGAAGAAGGGTAAAGTCCCACCCCACTTCACGCTATCTGTGACAAGAGTGGCCTCTTGCGTTTCCATACATGTTCACATCCATAGTCTCCTCTGTGGCCCTCACAGTCACCCCATGAGGTGCCAGGGCAGGTGGCACTTAATTGATGTTACTGTTCACCTAAGGCCAAAGAATTGAGGTGATTTGCTTAAGGCACGAAATGAATTAGTGACAGGACTGGGCCTGGAGCCCAGGCTTGTCTCTTTTTCTTGCTCCCACTGTCACTCACACACAGTCTCAAGCCTTTTCAGTTAGACTCTCCCATTCTTTGCCCTCTAACAGAACCTATCACTGTCCCCATGTCCCTACAAGTCTTTCCCTCCCTTCCAGTGACCAACTCTGCCCCTAGACCTAAGCTTCTTTCCTGCGGTAGCCCCCAGAGAAGAACAGCAGGTCCTAGTGGACCTGTGATGACATCTTCCATGCTTGGCTTCTCCTACAGATCTCCAGGCCTTTGTCCTGAGCTCCGTGGAGCTCCAGGTGCTCACGGGATCCTGTTTCAAACTTAGGACTGTACACAACATTCCTGTCACCAGCAATAAAGACGGTAAGATTTGGAACCTAAGGTTGCCTCATCAGCAGGTCTAAGCCCCCGGGGCATTCCTGGAGCCTCCTACAAGGACCTAGCCAGACACGGGTGTAACAACTCACTGGCCAGGTACACAGAGAGCTTGAATAGGGGTTGTTCTCTGCTGGGTTTCCAGATGGTCCCAACTCCTCCTTGGCCCTCTCTGGCTTGAGAGAAGAATCTGACACCTTCATGCACTGGAATCATGTTGCTAATATGTTTGTGAGGTAGTCAGACAATGTAAGCAAACGACTGAAGCATGGGATGTGGGGTGGTGGAGGGGAGAAAGGGTAGGTGGATTAGCATATGAGAAATAAGGCCAGAAGTTTCCAGGGACCAGGTCTTGGAATGCCAAGCCAGGGAGTATGTTCAAACCGAGGAGACTATAGGATGTTATTGAGCAGGGAAGAGCTGTCATTAGGATGGGTCCAGAATGGGTGGAACCTGGTTGCTCATGGGTGCTGGGAAGGGGTTTTGAAGGCAGGCTCTCCTCCCTATGTGGGGATTATCTGCCCCTGTCCCAAGAGAAGCCAGACTTATATTGGTTAATTTTTACTTTGAAAGGCTGCACTGAGGATAGGCAGAATTCCAGGGTGGGAGGAAAAGTAGCCCTGGTATGGGGTATAAAATTGTGTGAAACCCCTGGCCCAAGGCAGCCCCAGTGGCTCAGCAGTTTAGTGCCGCCTTCAGCCCAGGGCCTGATCCTGGAGACCCTGGATCGAGTCCCACGTCAGGCTCCCTGCATGGAGCCTCCTTCTCTCTCTGCCTGTGTCTCTGCCTCTCTCTCCCTCTCTCCCTCTCTTTCTCTCTCTCTCTCTGTATCTCTCATTTTGATTAATAAATAAATTAAAATCTTAAAAAAAAAATTCTAAGAAACGCCTGGCCCAGCAGGGAAGGTGTGGACTGGCCTTCCAGGCCAAGTGAGGGAGAAGGGGTACCAGCTCACTTTCCAGGAAGCAGTGGACTCTGGAAACTCCAGCCACCAGGTGGTGCTGTGAGACCAAGACTCAGACTGTGTCTCCCACCCTTTTGGCCTTCCTATGAGCTGGGGTGAGAAGGGGCTGAAGCCCGCCCTCTCACCAACCCTTACCCCAGGGGCTTTCTTCTCTTACAGACGATGAGTCTCCAGGACTCTATGGCTTCCTCCATGTCATCGTCCACTCTGCCAAGGGGTTTAAGCAGTCAGCCAGTAAGTACCCCTGACCCCCAGCCCTAGGAAGAGTGGGAGCCAGTGTTCATCCTTTCACAGGAAGTCTCCATGGATCCCTTGCATGGGGCCTCCCACCGCCTACCAACTCTCTGGTAGGCCCCAGGCTGGGGCCCTGACAGCCACCCTGACATGTGGGTAGGCATTCCCCCAAGGGTCAGGAACCAGCTCCTCTTAGCAGGAGGATCATTCCTGCTTCGTGTCTCCAAGGTCTGCTCTTCCCTAAGGCCTCTCCAACTCTTGGGTGTCTGAAATCCTGCACTCGTCCCCGGCAGATGTGGGGAACATGCTATGTGACCCCCTTAAGAGGTTAAGGCATGTCTCTTAATCTCTCGGGGCCTCAGCTTCTTTCTCCGTAAAAGGCAAACACACTTGTTAATACTGACCTAAGAGCAGGCTTAGATATGACCGAATATGTGCAGTGCCAGCACAGTGCCACACACATCCCTTTTTCTTTCCCCTTCATCACCATCTCCCAAATCTTTGCAGTTCTTAGTGTTTAACAAGATATAGTCACACTTTTTTACCTAATGTTCCCGCATAAGAATTTATGAGTCAGTTAGACAGCTAATAGTTCCTTACCATTTGCCAGATGAGAAAACTGTCACAAAGGGACTGAACATTGCAGAAGATCACAAACCCAGGGCTCCTGACTCCTGTCCTCTCCTCCTGCCCCTTCCCACCCCCTTCTCTCTGCCTCTGAGGGGTGAGGTCTGCCCTGGGCCTCTCTACCTACAGTCCACTGCACAAAAAACAAGGTGTTGGCTCGCAAGCAGGCATTTGATAAACATTGATGGTGAAGTTCATGTGGTACCTTACTGGTTTGTGCCTGGGTACCTTGCTAGGGGCTGGAGAAAATGCAAATATGGCCAGCGTCTGGACGATGCCTTGGCATGTTCTGGAGCCTTTTCAAGTGCATTTTATGCTCTGATCCTCCTGACATCACTCCGAGGTCCCTGATATCATCCCCACTTACCAAAGCCCATAGTTTTCACTTTAGAGCAGCATTCTGTCAGGATGGCCAGGACCACCGCACTCACCACTCAGCCTGTGCTGCTGGTACACATGTTGCAGCCTCCTGGACCCTCCCCAGACACACAGAACCCCCTTCTAGGGGGCACTGCCCAGGAGTATTCCTGGTTAGTGAGTTCTGTAGGGCTGTTCCGCACACCTGAGTCTGTGGCCCACTGTGCCCAGATGCCTCACCTGTTTGCCAGGATGAGCCTCAGGGAGCATGGCCATTGGGGTGCAGTGGCCCACTCTCCCAGAGCAGATGTTTTACCTCCCAAACTGAGACAGGGTGGTTAGACATGAGGTGAGCTGTTACAGAATCTCTCCTGACCTCCAGGGTGTCCTCACCTCCTTCGACTGGCCTCCTGAGCCACTTAACATGTTCACTCTGACTCAGTAGGGTTAGGCCCCATGAATCTTCAACCATGGCTCTTTGTCCTGATATGTTCATTGCCATCTCCACAGTCGGGCCTGGGGTATAGGCACCATTGTTAGTTCTGTTTTATAGATGAAAGTGCTAAGGCAGAGAGGTTCAGTGATTTGTGCAGAGCTAGGATTTGAACCCAGTCAGTCAGACTCAAAGACCTCCCTTCTGTGAATGTTCCCTTGACCCCTGACAGTGTTTGCTCACATGAAAATCAGTAAATGGGGATGGCACTCATTCCCTCCATCTCTCAGCCACCCAGACCTGCTCTGGGCTGCTGAAGGCCTCTGGTGTTGTTCACCTGTTAATCCGTGCCCACATTTCCCGGTGTGCTCTGATGCCCAGCTATATCTGGTCTGCGTCATACCCAGGCAGAGACAACTCGGGGGCGGCTCCATCCATTCTCACTTCTGAGGAAAGCTCTTTAATGGGGGCCCAGGAGGAGCATGTATGTCCATCCTCTGACCTCTGCCCCGTGATTCACACTGCAGAGGGTTGGCTTGAATAAAAGCACCTCCAGTGCACCCTTCTATGGGGATACATCTGTGGCAGCTCCCATGGAGAGGGACAGGTGTCAGGGTCTTAGCCCCAGAGGGAGTGTTTGGCTTTGCAGAGGGCCTAGGCTGGCCACCCAGGGCTGTGGCTGTGTCACCTGGGTCTGAGAGTAGAGGGGAGATTTTCAGCCTTAAAGGCCATGGTTCAAGGTAGAGCCACTAGGGCAGGCTTCCCTTCCTCCTCCCCAGCCCTCTACCATTTGTTACCTGAAGCACATGGGCAGTGGTGCCTACTATGTGCTGGCTCTGTGTGAGCCCCTGTTCTTGGTGCCAGGGGCACACCGGGGGCTGGGAAGACAAGGCTTCTGCCTGTGTGGTGTTGGTGTAGTAAGGGGAGACAGACAGGCGGAAAAGATAACTTGAGTTAAAGTCAAGTACAATGAAGAAAACAACAAACCAAGCTTTTGGAATGTGGGGGGTATTTTTGGTTGTCACAGTGAGTGGGGGTTCCTCCAGATTTTCAGCACCCAGAGGCCAAATGCCCTCCAGAGACTTCCACCTCAAATGCCAGATGTCCTGTTGAGGAACCTGGGATGGGTGGGAGAAGGAAAGGGGGAGAAAGGACTTTTTTAGCCAGCATGGCCAGTGAAAACCTTGGCCTAAAGCTTCAGCCAAGTGGGGATGAGGGATGAAGGGACTGAAGGTGTCAGGGCCCTCAGGTGAGAGCAGCTGGGTAGGTCGGAGGGAGGAGGCCAGTGTAGCTGGAGGGTGGAATGAGGCGGAGAAGGGTGGAGCCAGCTTAGAAGAGGGCGGAGAAGTGGGAAGGAGCCAGAACATGGAGGGCTGTCCTACAGGGATGTTGTGGGGGACAGAAGCCTTTATTCCCCTTTCCATCCTGAGGTTCTGATCCAGGGGCCTCACTCTGTGTGTGTCTCTGCCTGTCCCCGCTGCAGACCTGTACTGTACCCTGGAAGTGGATTCCTTTGGCTATTTTGTCAGCAAAGCCAAAACCAGGGTGTTCCGGGACACGACAGAGCCCAAGTGGGATGAGGTGAGTGGAGTGGCTGGCATCCCCCTAGGGACCCCTGAGCTTGTCACCAAGTATACCTGCCCCACTCCTGGTGCTCACTTCCTGTTGACTGGGGGTGGCCAAGCCTGCTGGCTGGGTGAATTCTGTCTCCCCAACCCCCTGCCCTCCACTCCCTGCTCATTTAAGTGTCTGGTATTGTGTTTACGTCTAGACTTGGGGTTTTCAGCTCAGGCCCAGATTCCACTTCATCAGCAATTTGGAGACCTCTGGAGCTCCAGAGAGGGGGGAGGTTCCTCCATGCCTTATGATGTGCTCCTCATGGGCCTTCCTCACCCCCTTAACCCATGCACAGTTGGGGCGCCCACACTTGCCAGGAAGCTATGTGTCTTGGCTTTGGAGGTTCAGCATTGTTGTACTGTCTTTCCCCAGGAGTTTGAGATTGAGCTGGAGGGCTCCCAGTCCCTGAGGATCCTGTGCTATGAGAAGTGTTATGACAAGACCAAGGTCAACAAGGACAACAATGAGATCGTGGACAAGATCATGGGCAAAGGACAGATCCAGGTGAGGGTCCAGATGCAGCTAGGGCATCAAGGCAGGCTTCTGGGATCTGCCAGGAGGTGGTGCCTTCTGGGAAAGAGTCCTTCTCACCTGCCTTCTTGGTTAAGGTGCTTGGTCTTTTGTGACTTGAGTTCAAAACTGGTTTGAGAAAATTTCCCAAGGCGGTGGTTTTCCCCTGCTGAGATGGTGTCTTATTCTAGCTCCAGAAACCCATGTGTGCCTGCTTCCTCAGGCTTCCAAGGCTGGTTCAGGTGCATCATGCTCACTCCTGCACAATGGACTCAGGGGATGGCAGCCATCTTTGCTTTCACATCCCAATTCTATAGTCTATTGATGGCTCTTCCCAGGAACACTGTGTTAAGAAGAATTCTGAAGCTGTGTCCGTGAATGCTGTGTTTGATTAGCAATGTCTGGCATAGGAGGCGTGGGGCCCTGAGCATTTGCCACTGAAGTGGAAGGGCTTAGAATCCTGCTGGCTTGCTGAGGGCTGGTCTCTGACTTGCTGCTAGGGTGGCTGAGCCTTATCCACGCCAGTTGATTGACTTAAGATGGGTTCTCTGGGTATTGGTAGAACCAGGTCCTGAGTCAGGTTAAGAGTATTTGTGCCTCAGCTGTATTTCTTGGGGCCCTCATTTGCAGCCTATGTCTCTGGAACATTCTGCCAGTTTTGAAGATGGCTACCTATCAGGAGGATGTAGGTTTGGGGGGATGACATTCAGCATGGAGCCATCCACACTCCATCTGGCACCTTGTGTGGTCTCAGGTTTAGGACATAGGTGGCCTCATTGGGGGTGGATTCTGTGACCCTGAAATCAAGGAAAACAGTAACCGGCCCTGGGACTGAGCCCATGGGTGTTTGGTGCTCTGAGCTTCTTAACAATCGCCCAGATGTGATCTGGAGGGGTCAAGGGAGCTGAGCAATGCTTTTTGAAGGAAATGTTTGTTGTCTGAGGCCCTGTGGAGATTGCAGAGTCTGGTGTCTGACCTTTGACTGGGTCTTCTTGGTGGTAGCACCCTTAGGGACCCAGGTGGGCCTCCTCCCCTCCCTACCTGTTTCACCTGAATGTTTGACTAGGGGAATGGCACCATTCAGTGGGGGCCCAGCCATCTGCCTCCTGTCTCCTCCCACCCCCCTCACCCCCGGAGTGTTCCTGTGCATGGCCCTTCCTGATGCTGTGGGACCAGCCCTTGAGCACTGTCGCCAGGGAGACAGTGCTGCCAGGCAACCATAAGCCAGTTCTCCGTCACTTAGATCAGAGAGAGGTCTGTAAATCAGTCCTGGGAATCTGATTCCTGCAGGGATAAGGGGTGGGAGCCCTGTCTCCACAGCCCTGGGCTGGCCAGAGGGACAGGCGGGGAAAAGGTTCTGTCTGCCTAGCTCCAGGAGATATCCAGCCAAGAAACATGAGCGGCTGCCGTGCTTCCTGAGCCATTGGTGGCCACGAAATGGAATAATTAAAGAGGCTGGGGCAGCCATTTCAGTGAGCATGGGCCCCGACCCCCTCCCCTGCCAGAATCCAGATGCCAGGGCCCCATGGCACTGTCTCCACCTGGACTTCCAAGTCCTTTTCCTTCCCTCCTCCTTGTTCCTGTCAGCCACATAAGCCTCAGGAAAAACACACCATAAATCATTACCTCTTGGAGACAGGAGCAGATGGAGGCTTTGGGGGAAGGGGAGGTCGCCAGGTTATGTTTGGCAGAGCAGCAAGCCAGTCTGGTAAGGAAAATGTTTCTGTGTTTAAGCTTCGAGGAATGTTAAATGCCTGGGAATTGATATTAAGAGAAACAAAAACCTTCCTGCTGCCAGCTGACCTGGGCCTGTGAGTAGCCAGCCTGGAGCCCGAGTTCAGTGGAGGACTCGAAGTGTCTAGGCCTCACCTCCTCAGGATGCAGCCCGCACGGGGCCCTGGGCCCTCAGCTATGGAGCCATCTCGCCCACCTTCCCGTGGGTCAGGGAGGGGGATAGGCTGTCCCACGAGGGGTACACCATGCCCCATGAAGTCCGCTTGCCCTGCGACACCCCTCAGAGCCCCCTGAGGATGACCATGCTGGGTGGAAAGCCTGCACTAAGCCATTCCCATGTGGCCAGGCCCCACTGAACTGCAGAACAGTCTGTTCCCACAGCTTGCTCCCACCTCCCTTTCAGCCACGTGTCCAAGGAAGAGACTTGGCACCAGCCTCTGGCACTGGGTTCTGCTCCCCTTCAGCAGGCACCGAGGGTAAAGCTAAAGGTGGCTTTGCATTAGAGGCTGTCTTCACTGATGTTCAGGTGGCCTGAAGGAGAGGCTGGGGGAACAGGGCCACCCCTTCTTCCGCCTTCTTTCTAAGGCGCTTCTCCCTCAGCCTGTCCAGAAAAGAGCAAGGGACCCCATTTCCTGAGCTCTGCGTGTTTGCCCCAGAATGAATCTCTTTCTGGCTTTGCCTGATGCATCAGTGGGGACCAGGAATCCTGAGTGGCAGACTAGGGGGATGGGGGACAGCATTTAGTGACAAGCAAATGGCAGCCCTAAGCAGCAACATGTGTGTGTGGCACTTGTGCCCCAGGAGGCACATTCCCAAACATCTCCTCTGATCCTCGCAGCAGCTCCGTAAGGGAAGTGACAAGCATGTCCTCCTCACAAGGACACGGAGGCCCACTCCCTCTGCTGGCCATGTGCAGGGCAGTTATGCGCTCTCCTCTGTGTTGTGTCCTTATGCCCCGGGCCTCCATCAGGGAGTCTCTCAGCCCCAGCACAAGGCACTGGCATGGCTAGCAGCCTGGAGGAGGAGTCAGGCTGCTGTCCCACTCTAGTATCCCAGTTTACTGTATAAGTGAGCTTGAGCCTTCTTCTTTAATCTGGGGTCCTCTTATCTTGGCGGGGGATCCTCACTGCCTGGTGCACCTGGAGGGAAGCAGAACGAGCACACATGCATGGGAATGAGCCACGGGAGGGAGACTCACCATCCCCCTGCAGTGCACCTAGCACAGGCTAGCCGTTCCAAGGGCCATAGGGGCCTGGCTTCAAGATGAGACAAATGTGTCAAGACATGCCAAGCCAGTAGAGAGCACAAGATGCCAGTCATGATGACAGTGCCTGAGAACTTACTGGGAGCCCAGCATGGGCTGCTGCTTACAGCCATCATCTCAGGGGTCTTCATTTACCTCTGGTAGAGGAAAAAAAACATGATTAGATTAAAAAAAAGCTGAGGCACCAAAATGGTGACTAACCTGTCCAAGGCCAAGTACCCCGAAGGGAGGGAACCAGGACTGGAAGCAGACCCAGGCCCTGCCCTCCCATCTGCCACTGTTCCTACAGAATAAGATGGAAAAGTGTGCAGCAGGAATTCAAAGAAGGCAAGATCATTGTGGGCTGGAGTTTCAGAAGCTCCAGGGAGAAAATGGAAGGAGAGGGATCAGAGAGCATTGTGTTTTTTTCATTCCAAATGCAATGTTTATATTAGAAGGCAAATGGCAATTATAGTACAGAGACTTGAAACATAATCACAAACCATCCCTACTCCCACTCCTCCAAAGCGGCCGTTTGATTTTGTGCCTTTTCCCTTCCTCGGGCATAGAAATTGTATATAGTTTTAGTTACAGTGTGTATTTTGTATTCTTTCTATTTTCACATAATATTACCATAAGCCTCTCTTTTTTTCTAGGGCTATATGTTGTCTTTGTAATGACCTTTTTTGTTATATTGTCAAAAGTACTTCTTATACCTCATAAAAATCATTGTATATAATGGCCAGCACATTAATTGCCATTTTAAGGCTGTGTGTTATTCTAGCAAGGTGGGCAGGGTCTGGATCAGCAGAAAGGAGCAGGGTGGGCATTCTGGAGAAAGGGCCTTCATGGCCATGTAGGGAGATGGGAATGTGCAGAGGGTGTCCCAGGAAATTAAGGGGCCTGCCTGCCCTGAGCAGGTGGCATTGTGAGTCACACAAGAGGGAGGTTGAAGGAATGAATGAAAGAAGAGGATCAGTAGGGTTTTAGGCCAAAAGGCTCCTAGAGTGCATTTAGTTGAATTCTGTTTTGGGGTGAAAAGGAACTGAGACCAGAAAAGATGAGTGACATACCACAGTGGTTGAACCAAGGGTTCTAAATTCAGGAGCTCAGCCCCACATCTGTCATGCATGTTTTGGGCTGCCGGGGAAAGGAATGAAAGGAAAGAAAATGCCCCTAGATGGGATGGGAGTAGACTTGATATCAGCACATGACCCTCAATGGTCTGCCTTTTGTCATTACAAATCTAGTGGGGCTCCCTCCCATGCAGCTGGGTGCGTTTCTCCTCTTCTAGGCTCAGGAGTCCTCCCTTGGTCATCCCCCTTCCTCCCCCAAGCAGCTAGTATCTGCAGATTCTCCATCCAGGCCACCCCCACTGCCCGCCTCCTCCTCCTTGCCTCTGCCTGGCCCAGGAACCTCCCAGCTAGGAGGCCCCTCTTTGTCTGCCTTGGCTCCCTGGCCCCAGAGGACTCCCATATATTTATCCCAGTCTATTTCCAACCCTGCTGCTCCAGACTCCAGATGCACCATCCCCAACTGGGACCTGGCTGCTGCCTGATTAGCATATTCCCAGGGCCTAGCCCTGGTTGACTGGCTGGGCTAGAGGGGGCGAGTTCTCCCGGAGGACCTCACAGCTCAGTTCCTGCCACAGATTATGGACTGAAGAGGAGTCTGAGACCCAGAAGATACCTAAGCCAGAGGAGCCCTCCCATGCCCCTGCTCTCTGCCATTCCCTAGTTTGGCCACAAGCCTGGTAACAGCCCCCACCCTTGGCTCTGCACAACCACGCCCCCCCCCCCCCCCCTCGCCAAAGCACACATCCCAGAGTAGGAGGCAGCTTCACTCAAGACCTTGATGTGGGAAAGGGCAGGGTCCCAGGCCTGGAAGGAAGCTCCAACCCTCCCGGTGCCCTTCACCCACACTTGAAAAGTTCAGGCTTGATGGGATGCCTTGCCTCCATCCTCTTCCCTTTTGAAGCTTAGAGCCCATGTCTGAAGGGGAAACAGGTAGTTTCTAT